CATATTGATATGCAGTTTCTATTGTACTACGTACATGTTTACAATTCAGAAATTCGTTGTATAATGCATATGGTGATAGCGTAGGTTAAATATTGTAAACTAGTCTGTAAAAGACAAACAGTGAAGACGATATGAAAAGTTAATTAAAATTAAACGAATATTCGACTCTCGTTCGACTAAAGCATCCGACTATTCGACTAAGCTGTCCGAGTAAAATTGACATCCCTAGGCATTTGAAGCTATAAATAGAAAACGGAAATCCCTGAAAATAATATGCATGGTAGTTATTGGTATCCAGTCTCGGACATTAGCATATTGACTTTTACAGTATATTTCATAATTACCTAGCTATGGCATCTTAAACTCTGCCCAAATTTCATTTTTTGGATTTTTCCGAAATATGTCTATTTTTAAATACATGTTACTAAATATAGCATTGAGATCCCACTCCAATTTTTTCATGAAGGGACACTACTAATACTGACGTTTGACGACACGCATATGATTTGAAAAATTTCCGTAGACAATTTTTTTTTATTTAACCTTAAATTTCTCAAAAAATGCCAAATTTTCCATTTTTCACATTTTGAGAAACTATGCTATTTTGCATAACCGTTTTCTAAGAATGGGGTAAATTCTGGAATAACTGGTTATATGCCCTGTATTCTTTAACAATTGATGTTTTGGTATGATACAAAGATTTATATTTGAGTTCACTACATAAAGATAAAAATGCATTCATATTTCCTCAATTTTCATGTTTTTGTTTGGTCAAAAATGGCCGAAAATGGCCAAATTCAATGGATCCGTCTCCATGGCAACCGGGAGCACGTGGGAAACTTCTAACACTATATTTGCTGGTTTTGTACCAAGGTGCACCTGTGGTGCTAATTTCATCAAAATCGGAGATATGTCGTTTCCAAGCCCTATAGTAAATTTTTGGTGCTTACAGAGAATGCATGTTAAGTAGGTGAAAGATTCAGTCCACACAGTGACAGGATGACATTGTGTTAAACTTATGATCTGATTTAATGTCGTTTTTTAAGAGGGCTGGATGGAAGTGGCCATTTTTATACTATTTTAGTCTCTTTGAAAAGAAGAGCTTCATATAAAAATATACAATAATTATAAAATTGTTTTCTTTATCAACTGATAGTTGACATGTTAAGATATCATGTCAATTTTTTTGTTATATTTTATGGTTAATTTATTGACCCCGAGCTCCCCACCTCTCATGTTTCAGAGGTCCGTTTTAAGTCCGTCTCTATTTTGTATTGTTTTATGGACTTTAATATTGAATGCTGTTCGTAATATCCATATCCTTCTTATATAAGCACATATTTAGTTTATGAAAACCATGTTACACGATTACTTCTCTTAATATCATTAGCATAATACAATATATAGTTTTAACTGTTACAATAAAAAATATAAAACATGCTCAAAGGTTCAGTGCAAAGTACTCACCATCAGCAGAGCTTCAACGAACCCTGAAATTATAAAGGATGAGATAAGGTGCTATGGTGAAGTTATATAATTTTGAAAGTAATTTCAATTTATAATATTAAGCATAAAATCAAATGTCAGAATAAACCTCAGCATCTCCAAATGCTAAAATATTTTTTTTTCAGGGAAAACAGTACATTTTTGTGCATTCCGTGTAATCATATAAGTTTGAACAGCATTAGTAAGCTCTCAGTCATCAAAGTTAAAGGCATCATAAGAGTGCAACAGTACCGTTTTCATTTAAACAGAAATTCGTTTGACTATTTTGACATTTCGGGTTGCTTTTCCTTCTTAATCTGTTTTGATGACAGATGATAAAACCATTTTGAAAAATAACTGAAGTTATATTTATCTAAGTACTATGAAGAAGTTTGGTCACATGCTTTTTAATGGTTTAATTCAATGTTTTACGGTAATTTTCAAATTTAAGCGACAAAACTGTCTCAAGATTGATAAGAGTGATTGCAGATACATGTAGTTAGAAATTAGAACATGATAGAATGTTAACAATTTTATTTATGCATTACGAGGGTCGTTCAATAAATAATGCAACGTGTCATCTGAAAGTAAGAAATGTACGTAATACATTTTTCAAATAGTTTCAATCCCTCAAGGCATTTCCTATTACCATTCCCGCCTGTCTTGGGTCTTTGTATCTATGAATAGGAATCCTCAGCATACTTATCTTTAGGGATGTCCCAAAGATACTGATGAATATCATTTCCCATTACATATCTGATATTGTAAAATCTACTTATCGTTGTTTTCATGTGTTTGGGAATGAAAAGATCTCACAGTGGCTGAGATCAAGCTAATATTGGTGATTGAAATTCCTGAATACTTTCTTTTCTTCGAAATCTTATTTCTTTTTTAAGCGTATATGCAGCTGCGTTGTCAGGCACAAGAACATACCCTGGTCATCGAATTTTGAACTTCCCTTGCAGGAAATCTGTTCAACTTATCTTTGTGCAATTTGAAGATAAAACTTACCATTACTAGTCCTTCATTTGGATTTATGTACACGTACATGTTTTAATGGACATCTTTAAATACATGAAAACTAATAAAACATGTTTGGAGCCATTGCTTCTCTTTATCATTTTTAAATGACACCCTTTTTCTTTGATTCCAAATTTTTTATCATTAATCTTATTTTACGGTTATAAAAAAGTGCACCTATGTTTCATCATACATTAAGCAAGTTTATAAAATCTTCTGTTTTGTTTAAACATTTGTTTTTAAATAAAACGTTGCAACATTTAACGAATGTTCTATTTTGGGCAAGGCACCTATCTGATTGAAATATTGTTATATGATTTTCCTTTGGTGGAAATCTTCAAAATGCTGTAACGATTAAATGTTTAGTATATTAACAATGTTCTGCATGTAAATATAGCGTTTTCAAGTTTCATATGGCACATAAAGTCGATATTTTTTTGGTTTTCCCACTAATTACAATGGACCACATTGGCTATTAATTTTGAACTCTCTTTTTTCTTCTTCTGATTTATTGAATCAATTAACCTGAAAAGTATAAAGCGTTGAAAAATTTTTTTCAACATATGAAAATCATATTTTAAATAAGAGATTTGTTGCGGGTCATGTGAAAAGTGCAATTGTCAAATACGCTCCTATTTTCATCTTCTTGGCAGAGATAATGTATAAATAGTTTTCAGCTCAATAAAGTGACCATGCTTACTTTAAAAATGAATTTCTTTGCGAAAACAATATGAAAATCCGTGGGATGAATTGTGTTTTAGAGATCTTTAATAGATCATAACAAATATGAAAAAATAAAATCAAATGCCACAATATTTATTATAAAATACTGTGTATTGCATTACTGATTGAACAGCCCTCGTATTTTCAACGAAAACAGTTCCGCAAATAAATATCAAAGTACCCATTTTTTGTATGTATCGTCTGCCATAAATTATAGTTTTATCGAGATCTCCAACATGCAGAATATGTTAATCATTTATATTATATAATAGGATTACTTTCTTGGTTTTAAGTGGCTGAAAGGACGCCACTTGACATTCCTCCTTTTGCAATAGCGACGCGAAAGCGCGTCCACGGAAAATGATATCGCACGACACGCCGTTCGGTTGCACTGAAGTTACGTAGAAAGTGACGTCATAAAAAAAGAAACGTGTATTTAACCATTGTACCGTAATGACAGCCAAGTCCGATGTGTTAGGACTGTGTCGGTGCATTCACTTTGAGTGATTATATAATATAACTATTATGGACTTAAGTGAACGGTCAATATGAGGTTATATTATATAAGTTTGAGAAATCCGGTAATCTGATTGGTCAATACGAAGTACTTATTTTTTAATAACGACCGCTGAAAGCGAATAATGACTCGCACGAGCTGCCTCGTTTTCACTTTCGCTTTAAACAAACATGGAAGTTCGCAAGTTGTAGGTGAGGAAAATTTAAAACATATAGTGAAGAACTCTGAGACTGATAATACAAAACAATTACTAGGATATTTGTATAATAAGGACTCATTGCAATATTGATATTGACCTCAGACACAGAAAATGATAGCGACCTCGCAGCTCGATCGCTATCACTTTCTGTGTCTGGTAAATATCAATTTTCACGAGTCCTTATAACCACATATCGACCTACACTGAAGTCCATAATTGTATAGTGTCTAATGCTTTATATAGTTATGAATGAAATAAAGGTACCAGTACTGAACAGGTGTAGAATCTTATGCTTCAATCGATAAAATTACTGTAATGAAATAGAGGACATGTATTCATAAAATTTAATTGTATTCTATAAGTATACTTTTATCTTGTGAATAAGGTATTTATTTTATTAAGAATGCAATTGTATACATACGAATAGAAAGCATTAAAGAGGTTCAATATGAATCATAAAATAAATATACATTTAGGCTTGTTTATTTTTATTAAACCATTATTTAATATATTCCTGGTCCAATTATTGCCAATTATACCAACACACTACATGCAACAAATGAATACAAAAATATTTACACAAAGCTTGGGAAGCTACATGTATGTTTCATATAAATAAACCTTTTTTGTGACGAACTTCATATTATATTACACACAGTCCATATCTACTTCAGCATTACTTGGTATAAACTCCGTATGTGCGTAGTAAAATAACAGGTAGTCTCGTTCAACCAGACCCTCGGCTGTCTCCGTAAATCTCCGACCACCCAGAGGGTCTGGTAAAGATACGTATTATCGTTTGTGACGCCAAAACGAGGCTTACCGAAATTCTGGTAAAGTTTTTGATTGGCTGAAAAGAACACACCTACACGATTTAAATAAATACATGATAAATCAGCAGAAAAATAACTTAAAGATGTAAAAGTTAGATGTCTAAAAGTTAAAGCTAATAAAGCTGAATTGTTACGGTAATGCCCACCAGTTATAGGTAAGTGTGTTTTATTATGTCTTGCAAATATTCTGTACGAAAGCAAAAGTGAAAGTATAGTAGCCTTACCTGCGTAATACACATTCCTTCGATTGATATTGTAATTTCTCGTTTGGGGTCCCAAATTAAAGAATAGTTTATTAATATAAAGTCACAATCCAGAAGAAGAAACACATTTAACATTTGTTTTCAAAAAGGAACTTCAAAATGAAAACAAGATAGCGCCCTCTGACGGTTACAAACGCTTACGTGATTCTTTACCAGACCCTCTGGGTGGTCGGAGATTTACGGAGACAGCCGAGGGTCTGGTTGAACGAGACTAAATAACAGGCAGTATTGTTACTGTTTTAAAACTAAAATAGGAAATACCTTCAATATCCATGTAACACCATGACACGGAAGAAAAATATCGATACACTACGTCAAGGATGTAGCCCTAAAGACCATTCGCCTGTTTATCTCGCTAAAATGAATTTTAAATGGATAAGCATTGTATATTTTGCTCTTCTTTTACACTGGAATGTTTATGGTAAGATCTTACATATAGTCATCCATTCAATTTCATTTGTGTTTCGTAACGTCATATTTTTATGCCCCCGTAAACGAAGTTGCGTGGGTATATAGTTTTGTTGTTTCCGTCTGTCTGTCTGTCTGTCTCTCTGTCTGTCTCTCTCTTTGTCTGTTTGTCCACAAAGACTTTAACCTTGCCCATAACTTTTGATTTAGTTGTTCTATGACTTTCATATTTCATATGTGTATAAATTGTGACAAGACCTTTCTGGGTACCGCCAAATTTGACCTTTTGACCTTGACCTTGAAGTTTGACCCACTTTTACATGAACATTTTAAACTTTTAATTTGGCCATATCTTTTGAATAGTAGACACCAGGACGTTTATACTTCACATATGTAATTTTTGTTGAAAGTCCTTTCATTGGATACCAACAACCTTGACCCTTTGACCTTGACCTTGTAGCTTTTCGTACTTGTGGAAAAACTTTAACCTCGGCCATAACTTTTGAACAGTTAGGGATATGGATTTCATACTTCATATATTTAATTCTTGTGAGAAAACCTTTCATTGGATACCAAGAACTTTGACCCTTTGTCCTTGACCTTTGAGATTGACCTACTTTAAATAAGCAAACATTGACCATAACTTTTAAAGGGTTAGGGCTAGTGCTTTCATACTTTACATGTTTAATCCCTGTTACAAATCCTGTAATTTAACAGCAATGCCTTTGACCTTGACACTGGAGTTTGACCTCCTTTTTAAAACTTTTAACTTTGGCCATAACTTCTGAACTTTTAGGGTATTAAAATAAGTATTTTATGTGGCAAGACCTCTCATTTGATACCAAATTTCATTGACCTTTTGGCCTTGACCTCAGAGATTTTTGTACTTTATTATGTTGCCATACGGGGGCATTAGTGTTTCACAAACACATCTTGTTTTTTTACTGTAAATGTGTTAGTTTAGATTCATACATGATTTTATATTAAAACTTACGATTATGTTTGATACAATGACAATAAAAGCAAATAGAGTTTATCATTAAGGTAAATCATGACCGACGTTTTTCATACTAATTGTTGGGTCATGATATGTATATGCATTTACAAACTGAATAAACAAACTTTTCCACCTTTTTCGAGGACATTAGTTTTTTCCCTAGAGAAAGAAAACTGAGAGCCCAGTCTTCTTCTTAGGTTGCCGTATTGTAAAATAAGAGTAATACAAGAAAACATTGATGTTCATGTAACCATCAATTGTCGCCTGGGAAATAAAAAAAGGAAACAATGGAAACTATGGAAATTATTTTTGATCATTCTACCACTTCGATATGTATGAAAAAGGCATGCGTCTAAATAAAGGAGACGATAGTTGAGAAGATTTTGAAAACTTATAGTCGGATAAAAATCAAACAAAAATGATACCCTTTTTAGCCGTATCGATTCCTCAAGCAAATGTTGGCTGTATAAATATAAATTGAAACTATAAGCATGCATCGCCTAGATATTAAAAAAAAATGTATTTCACTTTGAGAATTTCAAACACGAACAGTGTAGAGTACGTTTTTATGCGACATGTAAAATTCGATGTTCTAAAAAAAGGTAAATGTTGTTTTTTCGATAGTAAATGATAAGCAACTGTATATATTAAAAGTGAAAAACATATATATGTTTACAATTTCACTTAATTGGAGTAAATATATTATGTATCTCGTAACTTATAAAGGGAAAGAACATTGTGATTAAAAATGTTTTGAAAACTTTCAATTCTGAATAACTTCTCCCAGCTCAATCCCCATACACCAACACTTAAACGTATATGTATAGAGCAGCCCGGTCCTCCGTAGTGTAATGTAGTGAAGTGTTTGAGTAAAAACGTAGGTACTAGTAGACATCGACGTCTACCTTAAAAGCCCCCTGTCCTTAAAGAAATAATTAAAGAAATAATAATTCAAATTTTACCCTCATTTGTTTGCTTATCCATTTTTTTTAGGTTAGTTTAACCATTTTACCTGGGAAAGCCTAGTCCCCTTCACTTTCAGAAACGTAAAAACGATGTCAAGAAGTTTTTTCTGCTATTTGTTGATGATGACATGATTGATGTAATCTGCCAGCGGGATGCTGAATCTGCAAAGTCATCTGATCCTATTTCTCTGACTTGTAGATCCGTATTTGTTATACCCTGTTTTGAATTTTGAGCCAATATACTTTTCCGTATATTAATATCTATTACATATATAGCAACTTGATTTAATTAAATTGCCGATTATATTAAATGGTATTTTTTCCAGGGCAAAACGCATCTTGTAGCAAAGACGGTAAGCTATTTAAAGCAGCATTATCTAAATATTTTAATTTCAAATTTTTATCTATTATTATTCTTTGAAAGTTATCGGAGTTGAATTCTTGATAATTCTACAGGAATGTAAATTAGGCAGGTTTATAAGTCAGAAGCTAAGGGTGCCTAATATGCTTGCAAACCTCGTGCGTGAACACCTGTCTCTGTGTCTGAAGCTGAGGAGGCCAAATATGCATATATTTCCATTTCTAATTTTTTTCTCTGTGATAACTGTTTGAAAGTATGGGGAATTTATTTCTTGATAATTCTGCCGGAATGTAAATTAGGCAGGTCGATAGGTCAGCAGGTAAAGAGGCCTAATACGCATGCAATTCTCGTGCGCATCTGTCTCTGTGTCTGACCCTGAGTAGGCCAAATATGCATGAAAATCTCGTGCGGCTGCCTTTGTGTTTGACGTCATCAGTGTGCGAGGACTATTGAAATTAGCATGGAAGTTCTCGTGTAATTTAAATCTACTAGTCTACATTTTTAATGTCTAAGTCAACTATTTTATTTCACAATGAAATGGAAATATAAGGAATCACTGTCTAGTTTTGAGAATATGCCAGTGACATCAACAATACTGGGAAACATGGGATAATTTTAGCATAACGGCCTTCGCCCGTTATGCAAATTATCCCATGTTTCCCACTATTGTTGATGCCCTGGCATACTCTCCTAACTAGACAGCGATTCCTTAAAGCTGACATGAACTCTTAAAAAGCCATCATTTTTCATCTTTGTACGACTTACTACATTCCTGTACGCCTTTGTCCGCCATATTTCTTCGATTCCGCCATATTTAATTGAAAATTTTTGGTCACCTGTACCTGCTATATATAGCCTTGTACGATTGCTTTACCTGAGTGATTTTCTAGCCTGTCTGTCGACATGTACACATCTCCGATAACAAAGTTTTTAGAAGTCCATAAACTGACCAAATACATGTTTGAAAAGTAAAAATTCAGCAAAAAATAGAACTATACCGAGAATTAAATTATTTTTGAATGCATTTGCTGCAATATAGAAAATAAACTAACACGGAATACATACATGTACATCAAACACCCACAGGTCGAGAAAACGCGTCAAACGCAGTGATAAAAACATTTACCTGACTACTGCTATCGTTACAGGGATGTGCACATGTCGGAAGAATTATCCTATTTTACTTTTATTGAAAAATGCATCTCAGAAGTCATGTAATCCATTGCTAACTCAACAGTAAAAGATGCTTGGACACACGTGGCCCATGCCGATCATTTTATTTGGTCAGGGAAAATATCAAAGGTTGAAAGCTCAGTGGGGTTGATTGAAAAAAAAATGCAAGTAATTTTTCAAAAATAAACATTACTCTTGTCTGTACAAGTTGTAAATAAAATTTACGATTAAGTACATAGTTTAACTCCATCAAATTCATTAAAAAAAGCAGGCATTATTACGAATCATTCACCTTTTGAAGATATTTTCCCGTGATATGAATAAAACATGCATAACACTCATAAAAAAATGTAAGAAAAACGTCTGAAACAGATTGGATTTCTTTACGATCAATTATTATCAAATAAATATTGTGTATTGGCTTTATTAGATCTAATATAATTAGATTTAAAGTTATCTATAATTTTATGCATTATGAAAGAAAAAGTGAGCACGTTCACATACCCCACGATCCCCCAAAAGTCGAAGTAGTGCTGAAATTCCCAGAAAAAAATAAAGGAATCGTAATTTCCTTGTAATATGCACATCTATACACATCGTGTCCTAAATATCTGCAAAGTTTGACGAAATTGTGTGCAGCGGTTTATGAGGAGTTGCGCTGACAAACTGCTCTCCTCTATATTCAAGATATGGCCAAAATCTAAATGTAAAAGTGCGGAAATTCCCGAAAAATAAAGAATTCGGAATTTCCTGGTGTTGTGCAAATCTACACACACATTGTCTCCTATAAATATCTGCAAAGTTCGACAAAGCTCTGCACAGTGGTTTATGAGAAGTTGCGCTGACCAAAAAAAAAAAAAAAAAAAAAAAAAAAAAAAAAAAAAAAAAAAGACTGACTGACGGGTCGAAAACATTATACCTCACGCGTGGGGTATAATAAACGAGTTTGATTCTTTGATACAATGATAATGAAAATAGATTTTAATGTGAATTAAATTTCTAGACATAAATAAGTAATGATTATTAGAAAAAGCATATAGGAAGAGAGAGTAAACTCCTCGTGAGAATTCCACATTTTACCTAAAACTATCTTTTTAAAAATTCTCTTGTCTGTTGTCCAAGTTCGACACATACGTTTGAGAAGGTATTCGAGAAAGTTCCCAATGTTCCCATTCCTGTGATTTATATTTCACGTTTATTATATCCCCCGCCTGAAAAGTTAGAGGTAATCGTTATGCTTTGGGGTACCCATCTCTTATCCGCAAATCCTCTTACACCACTTAGAGAAATTTAATGAAACTTTCAAAGAATCTTAAGTTTATTACAGATTACCATTATGCACCTCCTATTTTACTTTTTGATCTGACACGTATGAGTTTAGCGTAATATAGACTTTGCCATTATAACCATGGGAGGCAGGGGGTATCATTTAGTGACTTCATTGCTCATAATACATGTATGTCTAGTTTCTCTTTCAATTTGGGCGTTTGGGTTAATTTCCTGTCCAAAGTAAAATTATTATTCAATTTATGAAGTTTCGACATCCTGAAAAAAATCCTTGATCTGTCCTAAGGCATAATAAATGGTACAGCACAAAGTGCGTAGGATTTTATACCTATCATTGCCCCAACGATGGTTACAGAGAGAGAGAGAGAGAGAGAGAGAGAGAGAGAGAGAGTTCAATATACAAAAGAATAAATAATAATTATCCGTATTCAACCAGTGTCAAGTATCCCTACCCTAGTTTTTAAAATTATCTCCCAAATTCACCTACAGAAATTATTTATATATATATATATATATAAAAAATACCTAGACTATCAGGCAGGGATACTGAAATCTCGAAATACTTCCTGTAACAACATAATTATAAAACAGTTACATTCCTCAAAATGCACATACTTTGTGGTCGGAGTGACACATTTTAAAACAATCTCAAAACTGAATTCGGCAGAAATGTCTGTCTTCCAAGAATATTTAAATAACGGTCATGTCAATTATTTTTGTATGCCCCCCCCCCCCGTCCAAAAAATCAAATGCCTAAATGTCAATCTAAACAGGGGATGGCCTTTCTCCGTGTTTGTATGTGTTAAAGAATGTATAAATGTACACATAATAAAAATTTGTATTCTGGTTAATTGCTTTTAAGATTTGAAGTAAATTATAGCCGTACATAAAATTACTTTCTTTAGATTTGAGATTAGTACTAAAATAATCAGTTATAATTGACAAATGAATTTTGCGACGCAAACCAACTGCAGACTATATACATGACTTTGTCTAGAATGTATATTAAAACTACATGTAGATAAACAATTCACAATGATAGCTTATGAACATCAGTTATAATATCCCCTCCCCCCTTTCAGCCGCGCAAATACCAAATAACTTCTCTTTCCACTTTTGATATTTTCCCTGACCAAAATCTGATCAGCACGGACTAAGTGTATCGTCGTGCTAGTGTGTACGGAGTAATGACAGTGTGTTTACTATTGAGTTTTTATGGAGTTTATTTCTTTTTTGTGATGCATATTTCAATAAATGGAATTTAGGGTATATTTCACTTGACTTGTGCACCTCTTCGAACCGATGCAGTAACCTTATTACCAGATATGGGTACGTTTACAGCGTTCGAGGCGTTTTCTCGATATGCATCAATTGCATAGGACCTGCAAATCAAAGACGTTGGTTGTTTTGTTCCATTCTAATGATATAATTTCAAAATGTGTTTGCAAATTTTACTGCTTTTCATTTCAAGTTTATTCTGCATAAATTGGCGCACTGTAAAAATACGTACTCATGCATCTAAATTTCTGTTCCAAACTTGCATTTTTTTCTTTTGATTCAAATCAATAATCATTCAAAAATATGATTATTATGTTGTTTATTTTGTTTTTGAAATGTCTTGATCACCTCATGTGTTCTCATATGCTTTACCATCGGAGATGTGCACAAGTCGATACCCAATCCAAAAAATCATTCAAGTGTAACGAGCGCATTGGGGTATACATCGTTACAATGAGACAAGGAATCTGAAAGAAATATGGCGGAATACGGCTATAGTTGGTATGAAACAAGTCGTACATAGATGAAAATGTTGCGTATTTAAGAATTCATGTCAGCTTTAAGTAAACCTCGTGCGGATGTCTTTGTGATTGACGTCAGTGGGCGAGATTAATTGAGATTAGTATGGGAGTTCTCGTGTAATTTAAATATATATCTACATTTTTAAAGTCTCAATCTACAATTTTTCTTTCACAATGAAATTGAAATATAAAGAATAACTGTCTAGTTAGTATAGTAGACCAGGAACATAAACGATAGTTTCCTTCTATCGATGGAGCCTTCACATACTACATTCACTGAAAAGTGATTGCTAAGATAGCACTTTTTTCTCTGAAGAAATGATTCTATATTATGTTTTTTTCCAGTATGCGCAACTACCAGAAAATAGTACATTGAAGTTAAATTTGAAATATATGTGTGGTATGACATATACATGTATTGCATTTTTAAATAACGAATAGTTCTTTTAGTTTTTTGCTTACAGACTTTTGTATGCCTTCCATATTATAATAAGAATGTTAATTTTGAACACATTGTTTTTTTAAGTTCCATTATTTTATTGGCAGTTTGCAAAACTGGGAATTTATGTAGTTGTATGTACTATTTTTCAGTTCATTTTCCGTTATTTATTTTTCGAGAGAGACATTAAAATTATACGTTTACTAAATAAATTTATTTACTTATTAAGCCAGAACGTTGGACAGTTGTGACGGAAGTGAAGTTTCGAATAACAATATTTATATTGACTTTGGAGAGATTGAATATCAATGCAGCTGCTCAATTTCGCCTAACTTTAGTGGACAGGCGTTTTATACTTTGGCCAGGAACCCGGGCTATGAAAACTGTGGGACAGCAGTAAGAGTTATAGATAGTAACAATGAGAAGTACAGACTTCCATGTGCTACATCCCTCGGTCCTGTGGTCCTAACTAACCGTTCTGGATTTGTGGAATTAGAACAAGTGAATGGTATTGATGGACCAAAAGATTACTGCTTACGCGTGTTTACAAACGGTATTTTATTTCAAGGTTAATAATTCTCTGTTCACTCATCAATCGCAACTTCTCGGGCCTTTCCGACTAGCGGAAAAACGACCTCGAATGTATATGGTAGACGCCATGACAACCCTCCCTTTTCACGATCTTTGAATAAAATGCATGGAGACCTTTTATCTGTGGAATATGGCGTTTAACTTTATTCATTGTAATGATATTACCTAATATATACTATTGAAGGGACTTCTAACTCCGTCTTTCCAATATTTGATTAAACAGGAAATGTATAAAATGTTAACATCCGGTGATGTTAATACATTCGCAGAAGGATAAAACGTACGCTGAAATAGGACCTGGGGTCCCCCGCAAATAGTTCGTCATTTTGCGTAGTAATAAAACATTCTAGGAACTCTCCAGACATTAAAGGCACAAAAGTAAATTCATCGATATCATCAATACGGAGACCTCAGGTCACCTTATATAATATTAATTGAATTTTATATGATAGACAGTTTTCTTTGTCTTACTCCAAAATAATCATATTTATAACTTTATAAAGATCAACTTTCTAATATATATATTAAAAGAAGCGTAAAAATAATAATGGGTGACCAGAGGTAACCTAATATTTTACATCAATAGGGGGACCAAAGATCACCTTACATTGTACATCAGTAGGGGGACCAGAGGCCACCTTATATTATACATCATTAGGGAGAACAGTTGTCAACTTATATTTAACATCATCAGAGGGATCATAGGTTACATTTTAAATCAATAGGGGTCCAAAGGTAATCTTTTATTGCAAATAATAGGGGGACCTGGGGATACCTTAAAGTACATCATTTGGGGGACCAGAGGTCACCCTATAATGTACATCAGTAGGGGGACTACAGGTAGCCTAATATTGTACTGTACATAAGTAGAGGGACCAGAGGACACCTTATATTGTGCATCAGTGGTGGGGGGGGGGAGAGAGGACACCTTATACTATACATAAGTAAGGGGGCCAATGGACACCTTATATTGTACATCAATACGGGGACCAGAGGTCACCCGATATTTTACATTAGTACGGGAACTATTGGTCACCTAATATTGTACTGTACATCAGTAGAGAGACCAGAGGTCACCTTATATTGTACATCAGTAGTAAAACCAGAAGTCATCGTACATTGTACATCAGCAGAAGGACCAGAGGTCACTTTATATTGTACGGGGACTAGTGGTCACCTAATATTGTACTGTACATCTGAAGCGGGACCAGAAGGCACTTTATATTTTACATTAGTATAGGACCAGAGGTCATCTTATATTGTACATCAGCAGAACGACCTGAAGTCCTCTCTTATAGTAGGGGGACCAGAGGACACCTTATATTGTACATCAGTGGGGGAGAAGGGGTCACCTTTTATTGTACAACAGTAGGGGGACCAGAGGACACCTTATTTTGTACATTATTACGGGGACCAAAGGTCACCCGATATTTAACATTAATAAGGGGGCTAGTGGTCACCTTATATTGTACTGTACATCAGTGGAGGGGCCAGAGGTCACCTTATATTGTACACCAATAAGGGAACCAGAGGACACCTTATATTGTACATCAGTAGGGGGACTGGAGGACACCTTAATTGTACATCAGTAGGGGGACCAGAGGTCACCTTATATTGTACATCAGTAGGAGAAACAGAGTTCACCTAATATTGAACATTAGTAGGGGGAACCTGAAGTCACTTTATGTTGTACATAAGTAGGGTGACCAGAGGTCATCTTAGATAAAACATCAGAAGGATGACCAGAAGTTACATTTGTACATCAGCAGGGGTACCTTAGGTCACCTTTTATTGTACATCAGTAGGGGGACCAGAGGTCACCTTATATTTGACATCAGAAGGATGACCAGACGTCATTTTATATTGTACGGGGAATAGAGGTCACCTAATATTGTAATGTACATCTGTAGCGAGACAAGAGGAACCTTATATTTAACATCAGAAAGGGGACTAGAGGTCACCTTATATTGTACATCAGTAAGGGGATGAGAGGTCACTTTATATTGATCATCAGCAGTTGTACCAGGGTTCACCTTATATTGTACATCAATAGGGGGACCAGAGGACACCTTATATTGTACATCAGTACGGGGACCAGACGTCATCTGATATTTTTCATGAGTACGGAGACTAGTGGTCACCTAATATTTTGCTGTACATCAGTAGAGGGATCAGAGGTCACCTGATATTGAACATCAATAAGGGGACCAGATGTATTGTACATCAGTAGTAGGACCAGAGGTCATCTTATATTGTTCATAAGCAGAAGGACCAGAGGTCAGCTTATATTGTACATAGGTAGGGGGGCCAGAGGTCACCTTATATTATACATAAGTAAGGGGACCAGAGGTCACCTTATATATAACATCAGTAGGATGACCTGAGGTCAGCTTATATTGTACATCAGCAGGGGGACCAAGGGTCACCTTATATTGTACATCAGAAAGAGGACCAGAGGTCATCTTATATTGTACATCAGTAGGGGGACCAGAGATCACTTTATATTATACATCAAAAGGGGGACCTGAGGTCACCTTATATTTAAAATCGGAATGGGGACCAGAGGTCATCTTATATTGTACATCAGTAGGGAGACCAGAGACCACTTTATATTGTACATCAAAAGGGGGACCTGAGGTCACCTTATATTTAAAATCGGAATGGGGACCAGAGGTCATCTTATATTGTACATCAGTAGGGGGACCAGAAACCACTTTATATTGTACATCAAAAGGGGGACCAGAGGTCACCTTATATTTAACTCCAGAAGGGGGACTAGAGGTCACCTTATATTGTACATCAGTAAGGGGATGAGAGGTCTTTTCATATTGATCATCAGCGGGGATACCAGGGGTCATGTTATATTGTACATTGGCACGGGGACCAGAGGTCACCTTACATTGTACATTAAAAGGGGACCAGAGGACATCTTATATTGTACATCAGTAGGGGGACCTGAGGCCATTTTTTATTGTGTTTCAGTAGGGAGACCAGAGGTCACCTTTAATTGAACATCAGAAGGGGACCAGAGGTCACCTTATATTGTGCATCGGTAGGGGGACCAGAGGCTACCTTATATTGTTTATCAGTAAGGGGGACCAGAGGTCACCTTATATCTAACAACAGAAGGGGGACCAGAGGTCACCTTATATCTAACATCAGAAGGGGGACTAGAGGTCACCTTATATTGTACATCAGTAAGGGAATGAGAGGTCACTTCATATTGATCATTAGAAGGGGACCAGAGGTCACCTTATATTGTGCATCGGTAGGGGGACCAGAGGCTACCTTTATATTGTTCATCAGTAAGGGGGACCAGAGATCACCTAATATCTAACAACAGAAGGGGGACCAGAGGTCATCTTATAACTAACATCAAAAGGGGGACCAGAGGTCACCTTATATTGTACATCAGCAGAGGGACCAGAGGCCACTTTATATTGTATATCAGCAGGGGGACCAGGGGTCACCTTATATTTAAAATTAGAAGGGGGACCAGAGGTCATCTTATATTGTACATCAGTATGGGGACCAGAGACCACTTTATATTGTACATCAAAAGGGGGACCAGAGGTCACCTTATATTTAACACCAGAAGGGGGAATAGAGGTCACCTTATATTGTACTTCAGTAAGGATATGAGAGGTCACTTCATATTGATCATCAGCAGGGATACCAGGGGTCACCTTACATTGTTTATTAAAAGGGGACCCGAGGACATCTTGTACATTAGTAGGGGGACCTGAGGCCATTTTTTATTGTATATCAGTAGGGGGACCAGAGGTCATCTTTAATTGAACATAAGAAGGGGACCAGAGGTCATCTCATATTGCACATCAGTAAAGAGATCAAAGGACACTTTATATTGTACATCAACAGGGGGATAATAATAATAATAATAATAATAATAATAATAATACTTTATTTATAGAAGGTAATCCGATTAGTGCGAGCACTAGTCTTCCTCGGGGCCTTCTTAAAAACACATATACAATGTTTTATACAATAATAAAGACAATAATCACAAACATGGAACAATAAGATATAAACACACATTATGTTACAATAGAATAAATTAAACACTTTCGTTTCATTATAAGTTCAGAGGAATGAAAACTTTTTTTTTTCATGAAGAACGTTTCATAAGTAAAAAAATTTCTACTCTACTTTTAAATATTGAAAGGGATTGGGAATTCCTTATACTAATAGGCAACTCATTCCATATAATAACCCCTGAATATTGCAAAGAATATTTAAATAAATTAGTTTTAAATTTTGGTAAACGAAGTTCTGAATTTGTCTGTGAGCGTAGCGTGTATGATCCACAACTTTGAAATTCAAAAAAATCGTGCATATAATCAGGAGACATACCATGAAATGTTTTGAACATCAGAATACTTTTCTGTAAATATAGAAGTTCATGAACTGTTAACCAGCCTAATGTGTTAAACAAGGGCATTGAAGGTGCATCGTATTTTTCATTTAAAGTAATCCTAGCTGCTCGTTTTTGAAGTTTGTATATTCTATCGATGTCAGTTTGCGGAGAGTTACCCCAAATAGATAGACAATATAAAATTGATGGTAAAATAAATGCGTTATAAAATAGCTTTCTAGTATGTAATGGAAGGAAATTCTTAATTTTTCGTAAAGTAAATAATTTATATGCAAGAGTTTTGCAAACTGCATCTACATGACTAGTAAATTGAAGATTATGATCAATGTGAACACCTAATAATTTCTCTGTTGTAACATTTTCAAGGGATTGGCCAGAAAGTTGTAAATGAAGATTAGCGTTTTCTAATTTTGATTTCTTTTGATGTGTTCCCATTAACATACTCTTAGTTTTGTCCGTATTCAAAATCATCTGATTTTGTTGACACCAGTTTTGTATTTGAAAAAGGTCTTGATTCAGAGTTGCTTCAATATATGAAATATTGTTACCATGAAAATGCATTGTAGTGTCATCAGCAAACATATCAATA